ATGCCATGATTAATGTATTCATTATTTTAATCATTTATTTATTAGCTACCCATGAAATTACCTTATGGTTTAAACATATTTATTTAAGCTCGATTGAGAAACAAGTTCTTGCAACTTATATCAACCACAGGAGTCCGCTTCCTGGAACCAACCAGTACTGGTGTCATGTGAAGAAACATTGTCGTAACACAGGTAGGACTCGAACCCGTGACCCCTGGGTTGTGAGGCAGATACCTTTAAATTATAGTAAAACTACTTCATGTACTTTCGTTGAAAACTTACAAAAAATGTTACAATGACGGAATACAATCCGTCCTTTACTTCATTTAATCGTTATTTGTTGATTTTGATACTGAAATATTCTTAGTACAATGTAGAACATCTATTAAAGAAACAATGCGTTGAAAGTTGTATTTGAAGTTTTGAACCCCTTTTAAGTCTGCTTTCTGACTCTTAGATGTACTGGTGTAAAGTATGACCTCAACAGACCCGATCATTGGGTCGAAAACCAGACATCTTAATTACTAGCTTACTTCTTATGTATCATCAGACGACAATTAGTCAGTATATGTACAATACAATGTTGTTAAAGTTAAACTGATTTGGTCATTCTTTAAATACCATATAGTTACGAGAATACTTTCTGCTTTGATAATTAAACAGAAACGCCATTTTTCTGTGTCAAATAGATGGTACCGTGTTCTTTCGTTTGCAGACAACGTGTGGACGGGAGGTAAATCAGATGACGTAAACGGATGGGTCTGGTGGTCGGAGGGTCACCGCTCAGATATTGATTGGACAAAATTGTCGGTCACAGGGTTTGATCCAACCATAGGCGCTTGCATCGTGCTGTCAAATCAGGCAAGCGAAATGTTAAATACAGACTGTGACGCCTTTCATCCATTTTTATGTCAGAGAGAAACGGGTTTCAGAATTTCAGAGAATGATTGGTTCCAAGTAAACGACCGGAAGTTGGCACGTGTCGCCAAGGGAAGTAACTGGGAATCTGCTTCGGTAAAATAAATATACATTAAACTCTAAAACATGATACGTGCTAAACAAATCTAATGTGCCCCTTTGTAACGATCGGAAAATTATTTTACGAAAGATTATTTTATTTCTCATACATATTTGCATGTAATTCAAAAGTATTTATAATGAGGAATTTACTTTTTCAAGCTGCAATTTAGAGGTTTTTCCTAAATACAACTTACGAAAACCAGAAAATCATAAAAAGCTGTGAACTATTCTTTGTGAAGCAGACAAGATTCTTTCACTCAGTATGTATAGGAAAAAAGCCTTTTATTTTATTCAAGCAATTTTCTGAGAGCTTAGCATTAAGGGAAAGGGACAGGGACTGAACAATTTTGGATTGTGAGAAAAGTCACAGGCATTCGGCACATTTTCTATGCCAATAATAGTTAAATTTTATCATAAAGTAATCACCCCTTGATCATCAAGAACAAAATTACTATCCAGCACCCGTTTACTATATAAATATATACAAGGTATATAACTCGCGTCGACACGGTCAACATTTTGCTCTCGCATTTTTTTTAAATAAGACATATTTTCATACTTAAACATGCAAAACATAGCACAATAGATATATCTTTCAGTAGCCTTTAAAATATTGAGCCACCTATTTTCATTTACGATAAATGAATTATCAAACGTGAAAATTTATCTTTAAATACTTGAGATGTCGACATGTTTTGTGCCAACGAAATTTCCAAATCTACCATGAGTAAACATACGTTTTGTTGCTTGCAATTGGTAAGAAAGTATTCCAAGTAGGTTTGAGTAGGTGTGCTGTTACATTCATAATCATATATATTATATACATTTGATCTTTGTTTATCATAGCTCATATGTCAAGCGAACGGAGGAACACTAGCTTCTATTTATGACATAACGGAAATTAGCACGATTCAAAGAGAACTGGAAGTGAAAGGCGTACCTTATCCTCGTACGTACACTAGAACATTTGAGCCGCGTCACGACAAAACCAACATAATGGGTTTGCGACCAGCATGGATCCAGACCAGCCTGCGCATCCGCGCAGTCTGATCAGGATCCATGCTGTTCGCTTACAAACCGTATAAAAAGTAGAAAAACTGATAGCGAACAGCATGGATCCTGATCAGACTGCGCGGATGCACAGGCTGGTCTGGATCCATGCTGGTCGCAAACCCATTATGTTGGTTTTGTCGTGACGCGGCTCATTTATAATTTACATGTTGTGAGCCTCTTTACTTACCAAGATTGCAAAACAATAAAATTTAGTGTATAAATTGATTTAATAAGATACACCTGTCTATGAATGCTATTGTTGGCGACGCCGGTGAGCGGCGTCGTCTCTTATAGAATGCTTTTTATTTTGGCCTATGGAAGGAGCTGTTATTATTAGCAGTTAATGTCATGTTGTGTTAATCAGTTTTATTTTGATTCGTAAAAATCAAGTAAACAAGTATGTTGTTATATTTGTATTTAATAACTTTATGTAAAAAGCATGTGCATTGTGATATTATTTTCAAGAAATTGCAGGTTCAGTTTAACAGATTGTCCCTAAGTTTTATTGAGAATACTAAAACCCGGATTTCGAATATCGTTGTGGTCTACATTGATGCGGCATCCATTCATCCCTTCATTTATATATTTTCAAAATATTCCTACAAGAAGAAAGTTCACTTGCGAATGAGTATTAGGATAGGTAATGGACTGTTGTAAACGATTATCCTATTGATTTTATCCATATTACGTTTATCTGTTGCACAGAATGATTGTTTTTACAAAGTGTACCGGTATCCGGATGTCGAAAGCTATCCAATTTTCTGCAATTACTGCTGTCACATGACCATCCATTTTTTATGAATACCTTACCATAAAATTTGCATGGCTTAATAAAACTGAGCCTGCAACATTTCATAATTTTGTGGTTTAGGGTGTTCTTTGGGGTTTCAGGTTTTCTCTATTTTAAGGGGAAGTAACTCATGTTTACTAAATAATTTGTTATTATCTGTCTATCTTAGGTACTGTATTACTTACTTTTTTTGTATAAAATTTACCCGTTGTAAGGTCATCAAAAGCATAGAGGCCATGATGAGTGAATATTGATAGATTTTTTTTAATGGCTTTATAATACCTTAGACTGGATTTTCTACTTTGTTCAGTTAGTACATACCTACAGGTATTCTGCTAGAGGAATCTTCTAATCAATACGTGAAACAAATTATTATTTTCTATGTGTTTGTATATAAATTATTAATAAAATAACCTTTGGTAAAAATGAAAGGTAGAATATTAAAGCTACATGTGTTTACATATAGGTGCTCATTTTAAACACCTTGGATGAAAAATATGACCAGATGGATAGAAAACCTGTGTTCATCTTAAAAGTGTCAAAAACCAAAAAAAAAAAAAAATAATAATAAAATAAAAAAAAATAATAAATAAAAATTAAAAAAAATACTTTAAGTTAATGATATATTTTTAAAGGGGGTCATTATTTACAGTTTTGTTTTTTGCTTTTTGACACTTTTAAGATGAACACCGTTTTTTAATCAATCTGGTCATATTTTTTCTACCCAGGTCCGATACTCTTGCCTGTGATTATATGCTGATGACCCAGGTATCCTTGTATCTGGTGAAATAAATCTGAAGAAATTCTTTCTTATAGCATGAGTCTTATAAGATTGGTTAATTGACTGTAAATTGTCTTTGCATCTTGGCAAGACAGAGTCTATTCTTTTTGGTTGAATTTTCAACTTAAACTGGGCCTAGCCTCCAGGTCACATGCAATGGTACTGCTATAAAGTACACATCTTTTGTTAAGTATTTAGGTGCAAACCTGGATCAAATTCTTTTGGCGTCGCCCTTTGATGCTTTGCATCAATGCTTTTCTTGTTCGTATTCTGTCCTGCCATTTTTTCTGCCATACAGTATAATCACTATTGTTCATTATTAAAACCAGGGCTAAATTGCTAAATTAAACCCAATAAAAACTCACAGAAATTACAAATTAACATACAAACACTTGCTCCCGCTTTGTTTACAGAACAATTATGGCTTGGTGGACTCTACGATGAGACACAAATGACGTGGATATGGCAAGATGAAAATCTACCGATAGACGGGAGTCTCTGGTTGTCGGGGTACGGAGGAGAGCCCGATCAACTCCCAGATAACGCGTGTGTGATGATGTATGCAGACAGCTTCCGGAACGATATGTGTGCTAACGAATATAGTGCCCTATGTCAGATATTTTCAGCTGGTGTTACTAATCTGATGTAATGATGGTAGTGACGATTGATTTGTGTACACCTAATGACAATTGATTCATGTTCGCTTATGACGATTGATTTGTGTATACTAAATAACGATTGATTCGTGTAAACCTAATAACGATTAATTCGTGTAAACCTAATGGCGATTGATTCATGTACACCTAATGACGATTGATTCATGTACACTTAATGACGATTGATTTGTGTACACTAAATAACGATTGATTCATGTAGACTTATTGACGATTGATTTTGTACACTTAATGACGATAGATTCATGTTCGCTTAATAAGCACTTTTCGGTTCAAGGTTCATAACAATTTGAAGTACACATAGCCAATATGCATCAGTATTTTTTTACAGTTACATCACGTTTCTCAACCGGAAGTCTGCTTTACAAGAAAAAGGACTTTTCGTGAAAACATAGTTATATCACGTTAGCTGGTCGCAAACCCATTATGTTGGTTTTGTCATGGCACGGCTCATTTGTATTTCATGATTCCCAGTTAAAATATTTGTTTCGTTCAGCTGTCGGTTAGAGCAAATACCTAGTATTGAATGAAATAGGAAGTAGTCTTACACTTTTGCATTTATTTTTTTCAATTTACACAATGTTGTAGTAGTTAATTAAGTATTTGTTGTAGTCATTTTATTTTATCATTTTAAAGTCGACTTATATGTATATGATAAAAAAAAAACAAAAAAAAAACGTAAAATACATTCATATAAATGTATATTGTTTGTTTTTGACAAACCGAAATAGTCCAAGAAATCCATGCATAAAATAGGGTGAATTAGGATATTAAAACATATTCTTAAAATTTATCTTCATGTCATTCTAAAGGCAACACCTGTTGACAGTACTTGAATGTTCATATCACATTTGCAAATCACCGGATAAATGTATTTATGTATACAAGGATATCGACTAAGTACGAGGTTTTTCTGTTCAGGAAAGTGCTCGAGGTGATTTATGAAATTCATTACCAGATCTTTCTTTAACAGAAAGATCGATCTACAAGGCCGATATCTAATTTACGTCACTGTATTGGCTTGAGCAATGACTGCACTTCATATAATGCACAAAGATTGTCTGAAACATAGCGCATATACAGGTAACAAGCATGTCAAAGACAAACAGGGCAATGCTTTAACCACAGAGGAAGAACAAGCTAGGCGATGGGTGGAGCACTTCAAAGAAGTCTTGAACTGTCCCGACCCATCATCTCCAGCAGATCCTATACCAGTAACTGAAGACATAAATATCGATGCCTACCCACCAAGTCTTGATGAAGAACAGAAAGCCATAAAATCGCTAAAGAATAATAAAGCTGCTGGAATTGACTCCATCAATGCAGAACTCATAAAGGCTGACATCAACACCTCAAGTCAAATTTTTCATAACCTGTTTACAAGCATTTGGGAAAATTAAGTCATACCGCGTACCTGACTGGTCTCAAGGTCTTATCGTCAGAATTCCTAAAGGAGACTTGCCGATTTGTGACAATTGGAGAGGGGTAACTTTACTGTCTGTACCAAGCAAGGTGTTTTGTAAGGTTGTTTTTGCTAGGATTGATGATGCAGTTGACTCTAAGCTAAAAGAAGAACAGGGTGGCTTTAGAAAAGGACGTGACTGTACGGACCAGATATTCACGCTTCTTAACATCATTGAGCAAACTATAGAATGGAATACGCCTCTATTCATCAACTTTATTGACTTTCGATTGGCTTTTGACAGTGTCCACAGAGAGACCTTGCTGAAAATCTTTAGAGCCTATGGTATACCACTGAAAATCACCACACTGATGAAACACTTATACAATAACTATAATTGTAATGTCAAACTTATGAATTATATATCCGAACCATTCAACCTTATAGCAGGTGTAAGCCAGCCAAGGCTGCATATTGTCACCTATTTTGTTTTCGATGACAATTGATTACAACGAAAAACAACCAGCACAAAACATGGAATCCAATGGTCAATGTTCAGTCAATTGAAAGATGACCTTGCGGAAATTTCTACACAGACTGCTCTAAAAATAAACACCACTAAGACCAAGGGATGGCAATAAACACCAAACTCACAGAGCCCATAACTACCAATGACAAGCCATTAGAGGCAGTTTTTGACTTTATCTACCTTGGCAGCAAAAGAAGTACATACAATTGCACTAAGAAGGACATTCAAGCTAGATTGCTTTTGCTATGCTAAAGCCGATATGGGAGTCAAAATTGTATAGCAAAAGCACAGAAATACGCCTGTAAAACAGTAATGTTATATTAAAGCCAGTGTTGGTGTATGGGTCAGAATGTTGGCGTGTCATCCAGAGTGACTTGCAGAAGTTGGAGGTATTCCAATACAAATGCCTGAGGAGAATACAGGGAATATTTTGGCCACAAAAGATGCGAAATGCAGATCTGCTCAAGAAATGTTAATACCATTTCATCGCAACAGAACTAAAGAGGAGGCGTTTCAGATGGCTGGGCCTTGTGCTTAGGATGTCACAAGAACGCGTAAAGTAGTCTAATAATGGACACCACCTGAAAAAAGAAAACCTGGCAGACCTCGGACCACCTGAAGGAGAACCATTAATTCAGAGCTGCCGGACCAGGGATATAGCTTAGGACAAGCACAGAAAATAGCAAAAGACAGAGGGAAATGGAGGGAAGTGGTTATGGCCTTATGTCCCACTGGGGATGAAGAAGATAGATGAGATGAGGTGAGGTAAAAGCTGATGCATTTAGATACTTGATCCAACATTGCATATATTTATTTATCACTTACCCCTGTGCTTTTGTGACTCCGTAAAAATGGTATTGCACGGCCGTGCATATATTTTGACGTGACGTCATTTGCGTTATACAAACAAAGACGCTAAATATTAACTTACACTGTAAGACTTGATTCTTATTTACTTTTAACGGATTTTTTATTTTGGTATATAATAAATAGAATATTAAATTTGCATAAGTTCATTATTAAATTTATTGAACTTGTTGAATAAATTAACATTTTTTTCTCGCCAGCGGCTTTATTAAACTCGTTCAATAAATTCAGTATTGAACTTCTTTTTCAAGCAGTATTTTTAAGAATATCCAAATTATCATACATTTCTATTGTTTCTATCGATATTTGAAATACTTATGGAAAAATTGCCCCACTTTAAGTACTTGCATATTCTGTCACTATAAGTAAGTTTTTAGATTACATGTATATTACTTGAACGTTGTTGTGAAGGATTCTTTGTTACTTAAATTAGGTAACACTTCTGATATGGTCTTTATAACAGTTTCGAATATAACATAATTATTGGGTGGTCTTTATTTAAGGTTCAAAGTGGGCATCAATCTGAAATGGTCTTCAATACAGGTCCGAAAATGTATGTTATGCAGCTCAACAAGAAGTAGTTCTGGCTTCCAAAATTTATAAGCCGCTTTTTAACAAATGTGTTTTTCATCTGATGCGGCATTTAACGTTCACCTCATGTCACAGTATATGAAGACCTGAAGACCAAATGTCAGACAAAATCCCCTTGGGACAAAATCTCCTTCATGTATTTTTGTATGTCTGGACATAATCCTCTCCATGGGTGGACATAATCCCCTTCATGTGTGAAATTTTGAAGTGGACAAAATCCCCTCAATAAGATTGCTACCTAGGACAAAATCCCCCTCGGATGAATTTTCTGTTTATATAGTGGGTATGAGAGCGACATACTGCATTATGCTGTGTGGTGATTTTGGGAATATTGGTTTCAACATCAGTTCTATACTGCTAAGGCCTGTGTTAGATGGACAGTGTTGCACAATTCATTTCTTCCTCACCATCTTTCAGAATTGATAGACAAGTTGTAATAGTGTTCTTTTTCCAACAACAAATTGAAAAATTAAAATGAACTCTGTTAAACTGATTAAAATGTTTTCATACTAATCAATTTAAAACTATTAAAGAAATTGCCTAATCAAATCTATTTGTTTTGCAGTTGATAATTTACCACAATTAAAATGAACACTGCTAAACTAATTAAATTGTTTTTAATGATAGTTTGGGTGAGAATTGATCTGCTTAATATATAATTATAAAGGTTAACTTGATACATAATTATAAATCAAAAAACAAAAGTTCATTAATTTTTATGGAGCTGATAATACATTATTCATCAATTTTTATGGAACATAATAATACATTATAAATATATGAAATAAGGGGATTTTTTGTCCAGGTAGGTAAGGGGATTTTGTCCAGCCTTGCAAAAACATGAAGGGCATTATGTCCACCCATGGAGGGGATTTTGTCCGGGTATGCGAAGGGGATATTGTCCGAAGGGGATTATTTCCTTACACACTGAAGACCTTATGCTAAACAAGAAGTTGTTATTTTCAACTTCACCTAAACATACCGACTTCCCTGCATGTCAACGAACCGTAGATAATATAAACAAGATAATAAGCTTGCTTATCATTTGGTATCATACTAATTAATTGAGCACTTGTCTCCCTTTTACGACGGTTTAATAACCATTACAATCTCGCAAGATCACGATCCATCATATCTTTCTTGCGAGACTACGAAATTTAATAGATTTGTCAATACTTTGTGATGTTTTAATTTGCATTTGCCAAATCAAGTTTTGATACACAAAAATAGCTTGTTCAAGGGTATTTCAGTTGCAAGCATTTCTGAGTGCAAACTTATTTTTTCTTAGTCAAATATTAAACAGCAAAAGGATTTATCGAAGATCATATTTATTAGTCGCATATATTTCCTTGACAATTTTATACATATGGGTTATTTTACTTGATTTTAAAAATGTTTTTTATACGGCTTCGACAGTTTTGGGGTCTTCTTTACTTAGTTGTCAATTGTTATCATTTATTGGTACGACCACCCAATGTCCCGGCTTTATGTCCTCTCTTGTGTGTGTGTGTGTGTGTGTGTGCGTGCGTGCGTGCGTGCGTGCGTGCGTGTGTGCGTGCGTGCGTGTGTGTGTGCCCTACTGAATGCCTTTGCGGTAGTCCAGTGTGACGGGATTTTGTCGGTGGCTGCATTCTGTCGTCTGGCATTGTTGATCTTTAAGTACTTGCATATTCTGTCACTATAAGCAAGTTTTTTTTAGATTGCATGTCATAGGAACGGGACAGCAGATTGTGGCGCATATTTTCCATCATGTCACGGTTTTTAAAAATGTTTCTCCTATATCCAAAATTTAAGAACCCACGAAAGTGCCTGTTTTGATAAAACCACGGAATTTCATGACCACGAATATAAGTGAATTCACAGTATATTTTAGTATTATCCGAGTGTGTGGCCTCAAAGAATATAATTATTATCAATTGAACACGATCTTGTACTTTTAAAATTGGTCAACTTTTACGACATTGTACTTTTTCAATATCCCGTAAATTGTCTTTTGATTTTAAAATAAGCAGATTATATTAAATTGAAGACCACACTTTCGGATTATATGAAAAGATATTCAAAGGTCGGACAAACAATGTGTTAAGTTGGTAGGATTCGAATTTATGCGCCGCAATATGCCATCCTATTCACGAGTACGTATGAGTACATGTATATTACTTTAACGTTTTTGTGTAGCATTCTTTCTAACTAAGCCTTAGCAAGTTAAATTAGGTAGCACTTCTGAGGTTGTAATAACATAACGTAATTCTTAGGTGGTCTTTATTATTAAAAAATTATTTAAGGTACAAAGAGGTCATAAATCTTAAATGTTCTTCAATACAGGTCGGAAAATGAATGTTATGCAGCTCAATAAGAAGAAGTTCGCTTCCAAAATCTCATAGGCCGCTTTTGAACTATTCTGTTTTTCATCTTATGCGGCATTTTACGTTCACGTCATACGCATGTCCATGAACCTAATAAACAATATTGAATAAAAAGGTAATATTAAGATTCATGTAATAAGCTTGCCATTTGATACCATAATGATTAATTAAGTAACTGTCTTACTTTTATGACGGTTTAATAACCATTACAATCTCGCGAGATCCCGTTGAGTCAGGCTACGGAATTTGATCTACAATGTATTGTAGGGTAAGAAGACGTCAGTTGTACTTCTTTAGCAGAACAGCGATGAAGAAGTGAACATATGCATAATATAAAATATAATTCTATGTAAAATGTTTCCCTAAATCACTATGATAGTACTAATTGCCAAAAAAAACGACAAAAGAAAAAAGATGGTTCAGGTAAATGGCCAATTAATAACTTTTTATAAACTATAAAAGTACACCGAAAATAAAAAAGCTTTTGAGAAATAAAAATAAAAGAATTTCTGGGGCATAATGGGCCTTTAAGGTAGCTCGCTAATTTCCACCGAAATTTGAAAACATCTCAGATCTTTTGACGATTTTTGGTATACAAACTTGTAGATATGTAAACTTTATTTCCTCAGCATTATTTTGTAATTAAAGAGTGTAAACTAATATGACGTCAAATAAGTGATGATTTAGAGAGGTAGCCTTTCACTTTACAACAATATTTCTCATCTATCTACGGCGATTTTAGTCGTATGACCTCTCGTGTATTTGTATCAATCAAAATGTAAATGACCTAGTTACGTAATAAATATTCAAAATTTGTAAAAAAACATAATTATTTTGCCTTGACTTCACTTCCGTTAATCTCTTTTTCGCTATGCTTCTTTTCGATATCCTTGTCTTTATCAGTCTGTTCAACTTGTTCATATTTCTTGCAGCATGCCTTCCATATCAAATACACAATAGATATTAAAAATGGCGGTATGGGCGCCATCACTTCCGCTGACACTGGCGCCACGGTGGCAATATCGCCAAGCGGTTCCGGAAATGAATTCAGCAACAAAATCATGGCAATCGCTGTATTTTGCATCCCAGTTTCTATGGCAATAGATATAATCTTTTTTCTTGGTTGCTTAAGAATTAATGATACGATGGCCCCAATGCAAAATCCGACGTATGGCAAGACACACCCGACAATAACTACTTTAAAATTAAACATATCAAATAAGTACAGACTTGAAATAACTCCAGTTGTGATCAAAATAAGAGCTAGCACTGTAAGTACAACCGCCATTATTTTCTCAATGCGATCTGTAACATTTGGGAACCTATTTCGAATAAATAACCCCACTGATAAAGGTACAAGTATAACAGAAAGTGTAACTACAATGTCGGTGTAAGGAATGTTCAAGTCGTTCTTCTCAAGAAGTTCACCGCCTAATGTGTATAACCAGAACGGAAGCATCCCTGAAAAGAAAAAAATATACATTAAGAGGTTAATACACGGCAGGAGAGGGCCGGAAGGCGATAATCGGCCCGCAAAATGAATAATGGACCCGAGGGCTTTAGCCCGAGGGCCATTATTCATTCAGGGCCGATTATCACCTTCCGGCCCTACGCTGACGTGTATTAATGTCTTTAATACACTTGGTAGATCTAATAGTAGCATTTAAAAAAAAAAAAAAAATAAATAAATAGACTTTGAAGTTCTTTCGTTGAAATTCTTGTTTACTCTTATACTGTTCTGTACAGAGATATTTACTGTTTGTGTGTTCAAAGCAGTAGAATAAAGAAGCAAGTTTTATTTTCATTTTTTTTCGAAATGAATTTTTCGTATTATTTCTTCAAATTTCAATAGTAACAAAAATGTGCTTGTACTAAATACGCTTAAGATCTCATAATAAAAATAAAGCGATTCGTGCTGACAACCTACTTTCACTTTTACAGTTAACTGTTTGATGACGTAAAATATGACGTCATTGTTTCAGTTTGTGCACGTGCACATGTTCTGCGGGCTGATAACTAGTTCTCGGCCCCGGGCCGCAAACTCATAATAGGTCACGTGACACTCATAATCAGTTGAAATCATTGGCAATTTTGTTACTATATATAGTAACAAGTGTATTAATGTACATTAAAAATTATAATATGTTGAATGAAAAGGAATGGGAAAGTTTAAAATTAGTTAACTTCTGTTTTAAATTGTTTTTACAAGTAGCTTTACCCGTTTCACGACTAAACTGCACTTTCTGAATTTCTTGTCATCCGTAAAGGATTATGGGTAATCAAGGATTTCCAAATAGGCCTATGGGCACGGCAGGTATTCATTTTAACTTTTAAAACAATCTAGATCTATCATCTACGTTCCGTTCAATGTTCCTGAACAGCGCGATAAAGTTTTATGTATCCATATATACTTTTTCTGATTGGATAAAAGGTCTAACATGACAGCCTAATATAACGTACATATATAGATATGTAAAAAGCCAATACACGGGACCATGGCCTAATCCTATGTATTACAATAAATAAAATTATATATAAAGACAATAGGGATCGAACTTGAATCCTCTAAATCTGTGGCTGGACAGTGCTACAGCTGATCTGTAATCATGTTATACTTACCCAGAGAAAGAACAGTACTTATGGTCGTCATGGTGATGGACAATGAAAGGTCACCGTCCAGTAGGTACGTATAGATGTTACTGGAACCGCCTCCCGGACATACGCCGGCCACAAATATACCTACTGCCGTCAGAGAATCCGACGCCACAACCTTGGCTATTGCAAATGAAATCTGAAATAATAAGTTAAAGAAGAAAGGTTTGCCGAAGTTTACAGTATTAACTATGCTTATTTAGGAAAAAGATGTATTTTGTATCAGTTTATTAAGTGACAAATTGACTAAATTATACGTTTATTAGATTTATCATATTTAATAAGGATATCATATGGTTATACATTACTAAATTATATCGAATTATATATTTTATATATTTTAAGCTTAAAATAAGATATTCTTTGTTTCCCTTTCCAGCAACCTACCCAATAAAATCACCGCCAAACATAAGATTTTATTGCGAAGGCTTTTTTTATGGATGGAGGAGGGGGATGAAAGATTAAATATTGGAGAAAAAACTGTAAATGAGAAGCACATCTTGGTCTTATGTTTTTGCATCGCAACTTCTCGGCCCTTTCCGTCAGTCTTCGGATAAGGACCTCGAACACAATAGTATGAATACACAGAACGGATGCGGTATTTCGGTCTAACCTACGCTAAAAAACTAAACATGTTAACAAATAGTAATTTAATGCTGGGAGTTGTTGACAAGTTTATTTCCAATATATGTAGTAAACGTCCACCTAAAATAAGTGAATTCATAGGAGCAAAAGACAACAATACATTATTTATGCAGAAACGGAAAGTACAAAAAAACCAACCTGCTGGTATTTAGTCTGATTTGTTTAAAATAGAACATCAGTGGACATATTTTAATGCAAATTGTTGTCAGCATAAGAGTACCGGAACAGACATTAGATGTCACATATATACATTCGTTTTCCATTATCACATCTGAAACCACGTGGTATAACTACTTTTAATCCGTATTGTTTCCGATATTATTATAGATAATAGCCGAGACAGTTCCGAATGGGTAAACATTGCGACATACTTTGCTTGTAAACTTTTAACAGATTTTACCATTCACAACCTCTTAATTTTTTACTGCAGATACATTGTATATATAAATATAATTCTCAATCAAAAATATCTTAAATAAAAGGAATATTTTATTTACCTACACTGGCATGCTAAAACTACCATGGGATGCAGGATGATATTTTAAAAGTACATGCCTCCATATGAGTCAAAATATTTCAATAAAAACAAACTTGAGAAAAATGTACTTAGATGTAAGGAAAAGTTAAAAGTTTCAAGAGGCAAGTAATATTTTACATACTTTACGCGATTATTGGCTGATTTTTCAGTATTTACAACTATTTTTCTACTGCGTTACTAACGCAGTAAAGGCTATTACATATTTTGACCACTTTTTGTTAATTTACTTGGTTTGTAAGTGTCATTGATAATGTATTTATTGCTTCCTTTCCTTTTCTTCACAATATTACACATTCAAATACATTTTCAAAATTTTCATGAAAATTAGCATGAATCTGGAGGCGTGCTGCTTTCAGGTTGGGCCTATTATTTTAAAATAATCCTTCATGAGGTATTTTGAAATTCTTATAAAAGAAGTTAATAGCCTTTATTTGTCAAAAACAATGCGGTAATTGGGTAACTCACCAAAGGCATACAGAGGTATTGACACAGAAGGCCAATCAGTGCTGGTATCGGTGTTTTCAGAGTATCTCTGACGACATTAAAGTCAAGCTGGGTACCAAAGGTCATCATTTCCAGGATTTCAAGAATGTATACAGTTATCAGAAACACTAAGTCGATGACAGAAATATTCCGAATGACGAGTACATCTATTTTTGAAGTTACATTTATTGGTTGTGTACTATTCGCCTCAAAATCCGCTAATTCGAAAACGAGGCTACTAACTCCAATTATTCCACTTTGTAGCGTTATGTTGAAATGCTTTTGCACATTTATTCGTCTAGTCTTCATCAAATTGGTCTCATTTCCGCTTGACTGTTCACATTTAAACGTCATATTTCTAGTTCCTATGATTTGCAAAACTTCGGGGTTTTCAGATGAAAATACAAGGATAGACAAATCATCTCCATGAAAACACATAATTGAAACAATGAGCTGCGTGTCTGTAATCGTATCTGTAATTACCCTTATGTTGTTCTCTTCTTTACTTGTCTCCACGCGCAATAGCGCTGAGTTCCAGTCAATCTCTTGCTCGTTACTTTTATTAAAGTCGACGCGCTTGAATAGCGCGTGTGATGGCCCTGACTGTTCACCATATTGCGAACTCATTGCACAAGTAAAACAAACTATGAGAAGAACAGTGATTTTACCAGTAAATAATCTTAGCATTATGACTGTATTATCTAAGCTTAGGAAGTTAAGGAACAATGTTTTATGCGCCGTCTTTCTTCCGGTATAAAATTTTCATGGAGTGACTTAAAACTAAAAGTTTAACACACGTGGCGTTTAAATCCTTCAAAATATCCAGAATAACTGATAAAATTTATTTACTACTCAAATGTCCTGTATAACTGCATTTCTCTTCATATAAACTTAACATCTGCACTTTAAAGTCCAAAAGTATGCTTGAAATACATACAGGTTTAGTTTAATCATGCACAATTTTTAAAAAATACAAAATTTAAGACATGTATATTAAACAGGCCACTGGTCAAACGAGGCTGCTATCAATTTGTAACGCTTTGCAATTAAAGTGTAAACTATGGTGCAGTAACAGAACCATCTTTGAAAATTTGATAGCGCCTATTTCACGGCTATTTCACGGCGTGCATTTGTCTAGCACGTGGGGTTATAAATTATCTTTTAGTATTTACCCCTTTCATTTATATATGTCTTTCCTTGTACACACTGTAAAATCATTTTACAATGTTAATATAACTTTATGCTTGATCAAATATTAAGTGCTCAAATACTGCAAAATATCTCATGACCTCGTGACCTCCTGTTGCATAATGTATATCAATGTTAATCCGCATACGGACGGTATTTGTTTATCTTTCTACCTAACCCTACTAAATTTGTGTAATGGATTAACCCTACTTTGTGTTTAGAACAGTCCATTTAAAGTTTAAGAGATTTCAACATCACACTTCATGTACTAGTATTACAATTGAGCTACCGACAGGACAGTATCGAGCCTGGTCGGTCGGGCTGCACGAATGCTACAGGCTGGCCTATTTCTATTATGATGCATGGTGACAAAAGGCTTTTCATTGAATTCGAATCCAGCAGTTGTATACATGCAACCGGGTGTGTAAATTTTATTTATGATGTATAAAGTTGGTTAAGTTTACATAAGAAAAACCCTAATTACTAAATTTGTGCTTTTTTATAAGCCAACTGTTTTTTTATTTAATCTAATATTGTTTTTATATAATTTGTTTAAAAAAATAGGTCAAAATTGGAGAAAAAAACATCTGTCAATTTACCTAACCCCTCCAACGGTGTAGTGGCATCACCTTCTGATTTTGTTTTATTTACTTTCAGTTCATTTGAACTAGAACATGTAGAAAGATAAATACACACAATGCACTTTTTAACTTAAGAATAGTTCGATTAACTAGACGTAGGACAGGTTGTCCGACATCGACATATTGTCCGCTGCAATACGAAATGTTTTTAGTTTACAAAATTTTCTTTCCCAACTCTTTCTTGTTTAAAACAAACATTCGCCTTTCTTAATCTCTCAAAATAAATTTTATAAAACCCAACAATTCTGATACGCGGAAAATGTTTCGGACTTTCTATTCTTGTCCGAGACTTGTCCGGACACGCCATGATGGACACGCCGGCGACTTTTATCAAACACTAAATTTACATTTAAAGTTAACACGTTGACAATTTGTGATAACCAGGAGTTTAGGGTTTAGCCTTTAGTGTTTACCCTGGTCGGATTACACATTTATTATCTGGTCCTAAAATCTTAAAAAATGTGATTAAAAATACAAAAAGCTACCCGTCGTCTGCTTTAATAAAAACTTTCCTATAGCTGGATTTAATTTCAAACGGTAATCTGACATCAGTCTATTTAATAATTGTGCGAGAGAAAACAGGACGGACAATTAAAATTGCAACATGGATTTAAAATTTGGAATTCTCTTAATTTGTGTGCACCTGTTCCTGCAACATGCAGACGGTGTGCATGGGAAGAACACGTACGAAACAACCACTCCGTTCTCTGGAATGCACACGGGTGCACAGTTCACAGTCGGGCCATTTCTTAAGGTGGTTCCCGTTCGTGTGAGATCCAATAAAGGGGAACCATTGTTAGCATTTTACATGATCAATTCGTCGTTACAACCGAGAATCGAAGTGTTAATGGACAGTGATATAACGCTGTCGTATGATTTCTCAATCATCTGTATTGACCGGAATATTTCTATGCTGCTGAAAGTGAACGCTCACATAGAAGAGAACCTTCAAGTAAATGGCCAACATTTATTCCCAATTTCTTGCAAAAATGCCGCGAAAAAGAACTTGCGTGACGTTTACTCAACGCCTTCGCCGTTATCCGGAAACACGACAATACCTGACTGGACAATTTACGTTGCCCAAGGACAAGTGAACGTAAAGTTACGAAGTGGAATAATAGGTCATGGTATCGTTGACTTTTCTTTACTTACAGTTAGCAAAAATCCCGATGACGTCATCTCATACAACGAAGTAGACGCATTAGTTTCACGCAACGAAACAAATGGAACATTTCAGATCATTGACCCCATGAAATCGGGACAGACGTTGACGTATAAAATCAACGTTATACGTAAAATCCGCCCTGTAGATAAAATATTCCGGGTGGCGATTTATGCTGTACAGATTTTCACGGCGACTGGCTTTGGGTGTAAGTTAGACCTTGGCGTTGTTAAAGAGAACTTGTGGCGCCCCGTGGCACCCGGGATCGGACTTGGGTGTCAATATCTACTGATGCCATTGGTAAGCTTATGTACATCTATTATCTGTGACGTTGTCAATGAAAACATTTCAAAAATATAGTAAATAATGCAAATTCATCACGCAATAAATATTTATGAGCTTGTTACGTTTTAAAATATTTTTACACTAAAAAAAGCAGACTACATTTGTTTATATAATAAATATACTACATGTGTTTTGTGCAGTTAAAAGGCAGGACGACATTTGAAACGAAAAATGCAAATCGCACCGACCAATAAAGTAAATTTTAGGGGAAATGTAAAGAAGACGGGTATTTTTATCTTTAAGATCTTTAATATCAGAATTCGTAATGTATCTGTACCATTTTAACTGCTGTTTGTATTTTGCCACTTTAACGCTACACCGGTTAAATAAAATAGAAACTTTAAAATTCATTAAAAAACACGTAACCGAATATCCACCCAAAATATAGGCCCTAAACGATGCTGTATTTTTATATATGTTACATTGTATATACTATTACTAGAGGATAACCGTACTTTGTGCGAAAAAAGTATCTTTTACTTTATAGCAATGAATTAAATTAATGAATACCTAAATGTCAGTCCCATTAAGCTGAAAATGATAATGTTTTGACTAACTTGAATGAAAATATTTCTGTATACCAAAGAAGATTTCTGAGCGTCTGTACCTTTCCAAAAGAGCGGATTTTTTTCTCACCCTGATTAACCTTATGTAAATTTTAAGCTCTTGTCGTTAAAGCAGCATGCCTCTATTTTATTGCTCAAGATTTTTAAAAAAAATATTTTAAAAAGTAAAAAAAATGTCAAATAAACAAAGAAAGTAATTTACACATTACAAATGGCACTTAAATTACTTTAATTACTTACTAAAATTACGAAATTTACCAAAAATAGGTCAGAATGTGCAAAATAGCCCTTACTGCGGTAGTCACACAGTAAAAATATGAAGTAAAATATTGAAAAATCAGTCATAAAACGCACATAACATATAAATCATTCCTTGAATCTTGAAACTTTTACTTTTCTTAAAATCTTAGTACATTTTTTCTCAAGTTAGATTTTCTTGAAATATCTTGACTCATGTGGAGGCATGCGACACAACTCCTGATTGGACAATAAAGGCCGTGAAGGTCAAGTGTAAGCCAAGTTAACGGTGTTATAAACTTCTTTTTCTATGTTGAATGTTTTTTACACCAGCAACAACATACGTGGAAATATTTTCTTTCTGAAAAAGGGGTCCTTAATAATTCCTTTATTTACTATTCAATTCAATTAAAATAGTTTATTTACGTCTCATCACATGTACAACACATATATCACAATGAAAATGAATAAAACTGGTAAAGGTACATATGCCATTCAATATAGAATTATAATTAAGAGACGTGTAAGCGTTTACTAGAAAGAGTTAATATCAGACCTATGTTAGCACATGCATACGCAAACTAATTAATCCAAAGCAATTTTGACTTGCCTACCGTAAAACATGCTTATATACACGGAACTGCTTATATTATGAGGTTATTATACATTTTTGAGTACAATACTGAATTCTTTTGGACGAGTACACAACTAGCGCATCGTTCAATATAGGTTCCAGAGTTGTGCAGTTGCCCAATAGAATTCAATATTGTGCTCAACAAATAATAGAAAGAGCATTGAAACACGAGGCTATCTGAAATGTCAAGGGGACAGGTATATTGATAGTGTGTTGGAACGGCACGTGGTGTAAATGCTGTGGCATAAAAGAGTGTTCTCAATATGCCATCCGTCGGTTGCTTGTCAGTTATTCACTCAATTTTATAAGCCATTGCAGTCATTACCCGCACAGGACTTTGAAACTTATACATGCTATTTTCTCTACATATATTAAATCAACTGAGCAGTAAAAAAAATGGCCAAATTAAATTAGATACGATGATTTTTGCTGACACTATATACCATGTCTGATTAATGATCTATTTGTACTTTGCAGATAAATATCATGTTTCAGGTTGATACGCAGGTTTCATTGTTATCTAAATAAGTCTCTTTTTTTTCTGACAGACTTTTTTTCTTCCAGATAGTATAAATTATTCTCTTTTTTTCCAGATAGTATAAATTATTCTCTTTTTCTTCCAGATAGCATTTGGAATAGCAAAGTCCATACAATTAGATCTGGCGGCTGTATCATTGGGTATTTTCATAGCAGGATGTTGTCCAGGGGGCGGTGCTAGCAACATGTATTCGTACCTCCTAAAAGGAGATCTATCACTGTCTATTACAATGACAGCTTTGAGTACGATCCTCGCTTTAGGTACGTTACCATATTAACCAAAATTTTCCATATTCGCGTTAATTAAACAACGTTACAAACAGGGTAATCCGTCAATTAATTATTTAACGCTGTGGGTTCGAATACCGCCTGTGATGTTAGTCATTCATGACGTGAGGAAGCCATTCAGCTTGCTTTCGCAACGTCGGTGGTTCTACTTTCGTGAAATAATGCACGGAGTGGCACTCATCTTTTACCAGTAAAGCATGAAAGTTGCCATTATCTTTGCATTTTCGATGAGAATTAAATTTGAACGATTCCGAGATAGATCCAAATATACTTTTGTGAAAATTTCTCCTCATATCATTTTCACAAAGACAGACGGACAGAATGACAGACAGCCAGGTAGACAATCTAAAAGACAGCTAGGTAGACAAACAAAGAAACATACGGTCAACGGACAGACAGAAAGACGGTACGGTAAACGGACGGGCAGAAATACAATATTTTGTTGGAAGAGGAACAAAAAATCTTATTACTATTGTATTTCGTTAAATGTTTGTTAACGCATTTTACCTCGTAAGAGATGATTGAGGATCTCTATCCGACAAAAAGCAAGTTTCTCCGAATTCAGCTCCTTATCAAACTTTGGAGCACTATTCGGCGAAAAGCGTCGAATAGAAATCCAAGAGGAGATACGGCAACAACTTCGTACAGTGCACCTATTGGTATATGGCAACCACTACGAAAAGTGCTTTCCGTGGTATACGGTAACCGGTAACAACTTCAAATACTGCACCTCTTGGTTTATGGCAACAACATCAATAGTGTTTCCCATGGTATACGGTAACACTTACGAAAAACATATTCTTCGCGAGCAACAAACCGACTTCCGAAACTTCTAGATTAAGAAAATTTCTCCGCGAACAACAAACCAGCTTCTGAAACTTCTAGATTTATAACATTTCTCCGCGAGCAACAAACCGACTTCCGAAACTTCTAGATTTAGAAAATTTCTCCGCGAACAACAAACTGACTTCCGACACATCTAGATTTAGAAAATTTTCCGCGAACAACAGCCCGTCTTCCGAAAATTTTAGATTTAGAAATTTTCTTCGCGAACAACAAACTGACTTCCGAAACATCTAGATTTAGAAATTTCTCCGCGAACAACAAACAGCTTCCGAAATTTTTTAGAAATTTTCTCCGTGAACAACAAACCGACTTCCGAAACTTCAAGATTTAGTAAATTTTACCTTTTCTTTCTCTAGATCAATTTCACAATCTATAACAATTCTGTATAATTTTCTGTTTCAGGAGTTCTACCATTTTGGATCTATACACTTGGGAGAGCATTCACGGAAGCCGGAGAGTTGAGCATTCCATTCCAGATGGTAGCAGTGTCTCTATCAATTCTTATTACACCGCTAATTGTTGGGCTGTTCTTACGTCAGAAGTTCCCAAAAGTTGCCGATAAAATCCAGAAAGCCTTGAAACCAGTGACTCTAGTAATGATCATCGTGTTATTGGCTGTTGGAATATACTCCAACATGTATATTTTTCGTCTGTTCAAACCTCGGATAATTTTGGCGGGATGTCTGCTGCCGTATATAGGTTACGTCAGCGGTGGTATCGTAGCTGCATTATTTCGGCAACCATGGAAACGAATTAAAACTATAATCCTTGAAACTGGAATGCAGAACACAAGCATTGCGTATATTCTACTAATAAATTCCTTCCCAGCACCTGACGGCGATATCGCTGCTGTGGCACCCGTGGCTTCTGCTGTTATGACGCCACTACCGCCTTTCACCATTACAATTTTCTACCTTTTGTATCAGAAATTCTGCAATAAAAACGCGGGAGATGATGAGGATGAAGAAAAGGCGGACAAAAATGGCGATGCATGTGTAGAGGATGGCGCAGACGTGAAACTTACACCGGAAACGCCTCCTGATGCAGACCAGAAGTTAATGGCCAGTGAGAAAGCTGCGCTAACTGCAGTGTAGATTGATACATGTATAAAAGCCAGTAATTTGATGCCATATGTGTTCTAATTGAAGTTAAAAGTAATCAACAGTCCTCTGATCCGCTGCAAATATTCTTTAGGAATTCTTATAGATCTAGAGCTTCATTTATATTTTTTTTTGTAAAATTGTGAGGTAATTTCGGTGAATTAAAAAATTATATGCAGGAACATGCTCCAGTAGACTAGAGGACACCAGAGCTTTAATAATGTCGCTGAAACGAGGACACGGGCTAAGTAATGAATGACAATGGTTTTATTAATTTAAAAAAAAACACATTTTGATATCACATATAAACGACAACTTAAATTGGGGTACAGACAACTTAAATTGGGGTACAGACGTGGAAGGGAAAATGATTAATGCGTTCAGACACAGTAGTTGACAAATGATGACTTATGATATCCCCAAGTTGTTGGTACTTCCGTGAGCCTAATTAACCCGCTTAATTGATGTAAGACAATATATTGAACTGTCATAGACCCCATATCTTGTAATTTAATATTTATGTAGACTATATATGAGATAGCATCTTGTATTTCTATTTCTGGCTTAATTACTCACGAAATATCAGGCAGTATTGATTACTTGTAAGAACTATTGTTTACATTAAGAAACATTTAATGAATTGTTATTATTTCAAGATGAAAGGTGATGCAAAATGTTGGTTTTTATAAAATGGGATTATTTTTTAAATTAAGTCCCCATAAACAAGATAAATGCTTGTTTCTTTTTTCTCTCTTTCTTTAACACAAAAAATAACAGATATATATATATATACCTCTTTTATCTTTATTACCTCAAAGTTTTTGTTGTTCTAAAAAACACACAAAAAACTCTATTTACAACTCATTTGTTTTTAATTACTTATATATATGTATTCTTTCATTAAACTAAAAATAGTAAGTTAATTTGCCCTCTACATCATGTACAGTGTAAACTCTGCAGAGCAAGAACCTCTTTATAACAATTTTTCCTAAACTAAGACTTCGTAATACAATTAACCTTTCTAGAACAACACCTCTAACCAGTAACCACAGTCATTGTCCAAAGGGTGTTGCTCTGCGGAGGTTGTACTGAAACATGGCTCCCTTTTTGATAAGTTTAAAGTGTAAATTTTTTTGTGAATAAATTTTGAATTGTAATAATTTTTATATCGTTTATGTTAATTATTTTTCTATATTTTTACCATGAAGATATCTATCTATGATATCAATATTATCACATACCCATGCAGATTTTGCGACTCCAAAAATATGGTATTGCACGGCCACGCATATATTTTGATGTGACATCATTTAAGTTATTTAAACATATTGTAAAGACGCACTAAATGTTAGTGCTACACTAGGCGCTTCAATGAAAATGATTCTTTTTTCAATTTAAATCTTTTTTATTTGGGTATGTGATAATTAGAATATTATATTCACGTAGGTTCATTACTGAATTTATTGAACTCGTTGAATAAAATATTTTACTCGCCAGAGATTATGATTTTATTCAACTCGTTCAATAAATTTGGCCTACACTCATTCAATATATCTATAAAATCTATTTATGATATTAAATACTGCATATGTTTAATGCTGTTTATTTTCATATTTACAATTAAGTTTTAATTAACAGTTGTGTGTATTCTATATAAATTTTATAACTGATATTAAATATACATAAAAGTGATCACGTTGTCTTTTTATTTTCAGTTTTATTTGTATGTAAAACTTTTACCAGATAAAAGGTCATAACTCATTCAAAATCTAAGCTAGAATTCTGGATCTTGAATGATGATCATAAATGAAGTTGCACAATTCTAAGCTCTTTGTATGAACATAAATTCAATTAAACCAGTCTCATGTCCATACCACATGCCATGTTAACCCACGACTGTTTAAAATTCTAAATTAAAAAGGGGCATAACTCCATAAATATTGCTTTCAGAATTATGCCCCTTGTCTAACAACTGCACCTTATCTTGATAAGCAATTATTCAAAGTTTCATCCTGATAACTTTTAAAATGTTTAAATAATGGGCGAAGTTTTTGCATGACGACAACAACAACGCAGCAATCATTACAGCTCAACTCTTTCTTCAAAACAGATAAGCTTTAAACAAAAACAAAACCTGTTCAGTTTTAACAAAATTTTAAAAATTACTACAGTCATCATGTAACAATACAATCCAATTCATGTATACGCATGTAAAGTCCCACAAACCCACAAAATCATTCTATATCATTCCAGTATCAAAATAACTTCTTTATTTTCTTGTTCTTCTTTAATACACTTCTTTCTTCTTTCTCTTTCAAATAGTCATTTATTAGCTAAAGAAATAACATATTCCAAATAACTTAAACTAGAGTATTTATTTTTTCTCTTCCGAACCTTCTATGTGTTTTGGTTTTTCTTCAGCGTTAGATTGCGGTTTGTACTTCGGGAACTGATCCCACGGTGAACTATATTCAAACTTTCGGAATTCCTGCGCCAACTCTATCGGTTCCAGCACACAGCGACCAACTTCTTCATCATAACGAACCTATGTGTAAGGAAATGACATATTCTTAAACTAAATGTAGAATGTATTTTGTTTAAGAATGGACGAACATTTAAAAAGTCAAGTTATCTCATTTTACAGGAGAAAATAGCCATGCTTTAAAGTTTAAATAACCATGCCAATCAAAAACATATCACATGTCCTTAATTAGAAATATTTCTTGAAATATTAAACTTGCAGGGCTTTTGTAGGTTCAAAATGTGAATATTTGGGCGGAACCCATTCATTATTTGTTGTTTATTTTTTTGTTTGGTTTTATGGCGCACCAACACAGTTTCAGTCATATGGACAATTCTAAGCTTTTTGTATCAACATAAATTCAATTAAAGCAGTCCCATGTCCATACCACATGCCATGTTAATGTGCATCTGTTTAAAATTCTAAGTTAAAAAGGGGCTAACTCCATAAATATTGCTTTCAGAATTATGCACCTTGTCTAACAATTGCACCTTCAGTATCAAGATAAGCAATTATTTCACACCTCATCCTGATAACTTCTAAAATGTTTAAATAATGGGCTAAGTTTTTTCATGACGAACTTCTAAAATGTTTGAATAATGGGCGAAGTTTTTGCATGACAACAACAACAACAACGCAGCGATCAATATAGCCCAACTCTTTCTTTGAAACAGACAAGCTTTAAACAAAAACAAAACCTGTTTAGTTTTAACAAAATTTTAAAAATTACTACAGACATCATGTAACAATACAATCCAATTCATGTATACGCAAGTAAAGTCCCACAAACCCACAAAATCATTCTATATCATTCCAGTATCAAAATAACTTCTTTATTTTCTTGTTCTTCTTAAATACACTTTTTTCTTCTTTCTCTTTCAAATAGTCATTTATTATCTAAAGAAATAACATATTCCAAATAACTTAAACTAGAGTATTTATTTTTTCTCTTCCGAACCTTCTATGTGTTTTGGTTTTTCTTCAGCGTTAGATTGCGGTTTGTACTTCGGGAACTGATCCCACGGTGAACTATATTCAAACTTTCGGAATTCCTGCGCCAACTCTATC